ATTCTTCATCTCCCATACATTGCCCACACAACAATCTAGGAACATATTCTGTTTTTTCCTTTCTCTTTCCCTTGTTGTCCCATTTTGAGTTGCACTATTTCCTTATCATCTCTTATCAGCTGAAGCTCGTTCTCTAGTATACAGATCAGAAAACTTTTTATTTTTTGCAAGGGGCCAGATAGTAAATATGTTGTTTTGCAGGCATGCAATCTCTGCCACAGCTCTACCATTGTAGAGTATAAGCAGCCATAGACAAAATGTAAACAAATGGGTATGGCTGTCTTCCAATAAAACTTTATTTGCAAAAACAGGTGGTGGGCCAGATTTGGCCTATAGGCTAAAGCCCTATCTTAGAGTAGCAGCAGTAAGGAGACAGAAAAACTGTGCAGGAGGCGAGAGAAAACTGGCAGGAGAGCTAGGGGCATATTGACAGAAGAGGAGACCTTTAAATCTTTCAGGGGTAGAAAAAATGAAATTCTTTGATGTTACTCAATAGTTTACCTGCTCGGAAGGAGGAAAGGTGTCTCTTCCATCTCAGGGTTGGCTCGGCATCCATTGTGCTGGGTTCTGCAGATCCTGCTGGCCAGATGCCACAGTGTGGTCAGCTGAAAGTGATTTGCTCATCCTGAAAACAGCAGGTACAGAAAGCGCTCTTTCAGCGCCATGGCAACCAGATCCTGTTTTTCTAAAAAAGGATCAGATCAGCGAGTGCCTCCCTCCAGGCATTGATCCATTAATGTGCACTGAGCTCATTTCAGAGCCAGGCCTTGGGCTGAGTGCTTAGAATACAAAGATGCATAAGGCAAAGTCCCTGTTTTAAGGAGCTCTCAGACTGGAGGAGGAGGCAGACATGCACAGTAAACAGTGTAATCACACGCCATCAAAGGACGGGACACACAAAGGGCTGGGGAGCATCTCCTCCTCTTTGGGAGTGAAAAACTAACCTGGAGATCTAAGGTTGAGCTGAATTTTGGAGAATCCGTCAGAATTGGTCAAGAGGACAAATGGGGATGGGTCAAGGAAAATGGAGAAGCTTGAGGGCTGTGGCAGCTCCGCAGAATGGCAAGTATGGCCAGAGGATGGTGTCTCCGGGGTGCCGGAGATGGCCGTGGAGAGGCACCGAGGCCAGGCCATGCTGCCTCTGCTGCCTCTGCTGTCACCAAGGTCAACGACAACCTGGTGCCCAAGCCAGTGGCATTTTGCAGCCTACTTTTACTCATTCCTTCTTTTGGAAAATGCTCCCTTTACAGCCTGATTTTCATGGTATCATGACCTGCTATCTCCTGATGTGTCCTCTGCACATCCAGCTGCTCTTTCTCACTCTCTTATTTGTGCTCTCACTTCCTTAAATTTTAACCTTCTTCTCATGCTGCACTTTCTCCAGGTATATGAGAAACGTCTCCATTTTTCACTTTCATCTCTATTGCTGTTTGTCTGTTGTCCTCAATTTCTCCTACCACAAGATGAGACCCTATATGTATCTGGGGATGTGGCCTCAAGAACACCAGTGTGGCAATCCCAGTGAAAAGCTTTTTCCCAGTACTCATCTTTCCATCCTGGGGAAGGCATGGGATTGCTGCTGGTTGGTTTTGTGCCTATCCTGGGACCCATCACTATTATCAGAGTGATGGGCCAATCCTATATATGGTGAGGGAAATGAGGTTCCATGATTGGCCCCGTCAGTCACAGGGATGGAAAGGCAGTTTCCTAAGACAGATGTATCAGGCAGGAGACAGGAGCTATACAATGTCAACAGGGAAAGTGTAATATAAATAATCATGAACTAATAATAGGGGGTTAGCCACTAAGGGATAAAAAGAAGTCTAAAGGTTACTGAAACAGGTGAATGGATAAACAAAATGAAATGTGATTCTGCCATAAAATGGAATGAAATTCTGATAAATGCTCCACATGGATAAACCTTGAAGACATTATGTACGAAATGAAATAAGCCAGACTCAAAAGGGCAAATATTATATGGTGCCATTTATACAATGTACCACGAATAGTCGATTCATAGAGACAGAAAGTAGAATGGAGGTTTTCAGAAGCTGGAGGAAGGGGAGAATGGGAAGTTATTGTTTAATGGGTGATAAGGTTTGGCTCTGGGTCCCCACCCAAATCTCATCTCAAATTGTAATCCCATGTCAAGGGAGGGACCTGATGGGAGATGATTGGATCATAGAGGTGATTCTCATGATAATGAGTGAGTTCTCATGAGATTTGATGGTTTAAAAGTGTGTGGCTCTCTTCTCTCTTTTTCTCCCTCTCCTGCCACTTTGTGAAGAGAAGATCTGCCTTGCTTCCCCTTTGCCTTCCACCATGAACGTGTTTCCCCAGGCCTCCTCCGGCACGCAGAACTGTGAATCAATCAAACCTCTTTTCTTCATCAGTTACCCAGTCTCAGGTAGTATCTTCGTAGCAGTGTGAGAACAGACTATTACAATGGGTATAGAGTTTCACCTTGGAATGATAGAAAAGTTTTGGAAATAGATAGTGGCAATGGCTGCAAAACATTGTGACTGTATCTACCGTCCATGAATTGTACACTTAAAAATGGTTAAAATGATAAATGTTATGTATGTTTTACCACAGTAAAAAAAATACAAGCCAGCCTGGCCAACATGGCAAAACCCTGTCTCTACTAAAAATACAAAAATGAGCCAGGTGTGGTGGCACACGCCTGTGATCCCAGCTACTCTGGAGGCTGAGGCAGGAGAATCACTTGAACCCGAGAGGTAGAGGTTGCAGTGACCTGAGATCACGCCACTGCATTCCAGCCTGGGCGATAGAGTGAGATTCCGTCTCAAAAACAATAAATAAACAAAAACCAGGAATCGTGGATATAGGTGGCAGGCATTAGCTCTAGGGCTGAAGCAGAGAACCCAAGGAAGGAACCAACTTGGAAAAGGGTCTCCCCAGGGATGAGACTCAGACACCGTTGGAGATGGTGTGGCTAGAGCCCGCAGGATGGCAAAGAAGTTTGTTGTAGTGCTTCAGGCCAGGCTGGCATGCAAGAAACCCGTGCACCGGTGGGGGCAGCGGGGTGGGGGCTGACAACACTCACTGAGAAGCTGCTGTCTGAGGCGCAGGCACTCACTAGGACTTCACCCGTGGTATGTTACTGAAACTCAGGGGAGCCAGCTGCTGGAGCATTTATGAGACACACTGGGCCACCATCTGGGGCTTCAGCAGTGTTTGGTGAAAACCTGCCTGTGGGGTTGCTGCTAAATTTGCTGGAGAGCTGACTGAGGTGCTAGCAGAACTCCTCAGGAAACTCACCAGGGGTGCCCCACGCACCAGTCAAGAGCGGGAGCAAGAGGAAAGGAAGGGAGCCTCTTCTTCCTGCAGTGTCCCTCCAGAGCCCTCCATTGACAGCACTTAGTATCGTGCTAGCAGGCAAAGACATGTTTACAGGATTCAGCTCCAGTATCACAAAGGAGGATAACGAAGAGTGGATTTGGAATTCAGAGGCACTAAAGTGATAACTGTCACCACCCACCTCTTTGGCTACCGAGTTTCCATATGCACCCTCCTACACATATCTGAACTTCTATACAACAATGAACAAAATATAGCTATCCTTCTTACCAGTAAAGATATTCCTACCCTTTCTCCCAAATGAGAAGATACTCAGTGCCAACAATTGTATCCATCTCTGGCTATATTCATTACTCGAATTTGATCACAGTCCCTCTAAATATTCTGTTACCAAAAGACCAAATTGTAAAATTAACCTCCAACAACTTTTATATAAACTAATGAAGAAGGAGAGAGAGAGAAAATGGATGGCATTTTCCCATCACCCATCTATCAGCAGTAAAGAACTCTGGAGAAGCGCTCTTGAGGAAATATCTTTGGGAAGAATCCCTGATTGGCCTTACTTGGGTCATGTGTGTTGGAGTCTATGAAAGTCTGGAATTTTGCCCATCTTACAAGCTAGTAAGCCTGTTACAGTTTCATGGATGCTGGCAGATGACATGAGACTGGATCAGAGACAAAGGACTACACTACTCATGGCAGAACAAGTTGCAAGAGGTTTGTGTTAGTTAGCATTGGTTTTCCATGTCCCCAAGTTCCACTGGGGTGATGTGGAGGGGCCCAGGTGGTTACTGTACACACAGGGTGTTTGTACTGCAACTAAGGAACACCGAGCTTGGGAACATACAATTTAACAGTAAGTGATGAGCAAGACTGCCTCTTTGTCTGGGGCAGGGGGATATTGCTTTGTCAAGGCTGTCTACTGCAAACACAACCCAGAGAAATGTCTCAAGCAAGGAACAGTCAGGACCTTGCATTCTTGTCATCCCCAGCAAGAGCATGCAGAGACAATCAGAGCCCGTGGCAAATTGCCTGTCACAAAAATCCACCACAAGGCCTGACAGATCCTTGGCCAAATTCACATTTTCCCATGAGTATGCTACCTCATCAGCTGCTCTGATTAGTCTGACCAACAGAGGGACCAAATCCATTTAATTTGATTCCTATCACATTTAAAATTAAGGCTGCTATTGACAGGACTTCAAGTCATGCAGTGAGGCAAGTCTGCCATATTGATCTCACCCATGTGCCCAGGGTCTCGGGCTCAGCCGACTGTTTAGAAGTTCTGGGGGCAAGGGAGACCAGTCATTCTTATTTCAGATAGCTAGGATAAAATCTCATATCAGTCTAGGATTCATTATGACCCACTCATGGGAGTTTAGATGCACTGATATCAATGCCAGTGACTACAGGAGGCAATGCAGGGAGCAAAGACCCTCATCCCTGATGGAAGGACATTTATGGCCCATTCTCACTTACAAAGAGACGATCCGAAGGGGAGTAGGTCACTCTAGTTTAGGATTTGTTGTTAAATTTGATTTGAATCATCATTGCATTGGTTTGGTTAGGTAAATATATACACACACACATATTATATATATTTTATATGCACATACAAGATAATAGATAGATAGATAGATATCATATTGGTTCTGTTTTTTTTTTTTTTTTTTTTGGAGAACTCTGACTAGCCCTAGTTGCCTTTCTTTTCTTTTTCCAGTTTTCTTCTGAGCTCATGTTCCCCCTCCTGATATCTTACCATCCTTTCCCTGAGCTCACTTTATCCTTTTCCTTCTTAGAGGCAACCATTTCATTAAGTTTTTAAGTGCCTGGCAATTGCTTGGTTACGACTGGTGTCTGCTCCGTGACAGCCTCTTCTTGGTGAGTATTCCACATCTGCCACTGGTTTTTCCTATCCGTTTCCTACTTTTGCAGAGATCCTGTATGTCTTCCTTTTTGATGACTCATCTTTGAACAAGTGGAGTTTTTCCTGGACCAGCTCTTTGCTGGTATCATGTGGGAAGAGTTGGGGCTGTGTTCCAAGTCAGCTGGAATTTTCCTTATAACCCAGGATTTTAGATGTGAGCTTGATCAGCCTTTACTTCTCTGCTTAAGCAGGTCTGGGCATGTTTGGCAACCTGGCCTGCATGACGGAGATTTGCATAATTTGGTGTTCATCTGTTTATTCAGTTTTTGCCTGAATGATGAAGGAGGAAGTTTATGTCTTGCTCCCTGGGGACAGGCAGAGGCAGTGTGTGCACTTCCATCTGACAAGGACCAGATCTGAACAGTCTGGAGAGAGGAGCTGTGGTGACAGCAGAAAGATCTCTGCTTCAGGGGTCAGGTGTCCAGGTGAGACGCCACAGCGCGGCAGAGAGAACAGAGGCTTCTCTGCATGCCTGCCAGGGAATTGGCACCATGTCAACTGAAATCTTAGGTTACAGGAACAGAAACCAGCCCCGACTGACGTGTGCAAGCCTGGAGCTTTCCTTTCTCCTTGCACTTCCCACGTGTTCCCCACATAACCAGAAACCACAGAGCCACCCCCTGCCACCCAACGACTCCCTCCTGAGCTAGAAACTTGTAAGACCCAGCTAGGAGTCTGAATGGTTGGACATCTAAAGCAAAGAATAATCTAGTTTGTAACATGGGATCAAAGGAAGAACTGAATATCCAGATTCTGTGTAAAAGGGGCCACTTTGGAGATTTCTAAGCTTCTCGGGGGCTGTCCCTCAGTATAACTCAGCTGTAATTTGGGTTCCCATACAGATCCAACTTCCCTGGAAAGAGAAAGTCTCATGTTTGTTAATAGCATGAGGAAAGAATTAAAATATATCAGCTGCTGTGGGCTAATGTCATTTATTTTGACTCTTCTTTTGTAGAAGAAATGCTGATGCAGTGTCATGCTTGTCTCTGCCCTCCTTAGAGAACGCCTGAACAGTTCCATTGACTCAAAGTGAAGATCAAAAGAACCAAATGACAGCAATAGCTAAGTGTAATCATCAGTAACCCTGTGTTCTATCCACGGGTAAAGAACAATCATCCTCTTCATTATGGGTTTCAATTTAAAATATAATACATTTTTAGAAATGTCTATTTCCTTTTATAATCTCTTTATATAATCTAGGTTATTTTGACTCTTAGATCTTCATTTAACTACTGAAAAGATTTGATCTCAAATCAATGATCTAACCACCTCTGCCCGCCTCCCTCCCCATACACCCCCCAGCATGAATTCTGGGAACTCAGGTAAAATGCTTTCTGGAAACCTGCCTGTATTAGTCTGTTGTCACACTGCTAATAAACACATACCCGAAACTGAGTAATTTGTAAAAGAAAGAGGTTTCCTTTGTAGTTCCACATGGCTTGGGAGGTCTCACAATCATGGTGGAAGGCGAATGAGAAGCAAAGTCACATCTTACATGGCAGCAGGGAAGAGAGAGTTTGTGTAGGGGAACACTCCTTTAAAAAACCATCAGATCTTGAGACATTCATTCACTATCATGAGATCAGCATGGGAAAGACCCACCCCCATGATTCAATTACCTCCCACGACATGTGGGATTTATAGGAGCTACAATTCACAATGAGATTTGGGTGGGGACACAGACAAACCATATCACCGCCTAAAACCAACTCAATAGTTGGAGGAATTTGGAGGACAGACACTAGTTCTGTATCTGGAGAAACTAGAATCTGGAGAGGATTTAATTAATTTGGCAAAAGGATTAGCAATTGGATCTAAGTGAGAAAAGAGAATTCTTGGAGGAAGAAAAGATGTTTAGTTACACTGAGAAATTAAAACCTGAAGCCATTGCCTTTGAGATTTTTTTCAGGAAATGAGTATTGACTGCCTACTGTGTGTCAAATTATGTGTTTCATGTTAAAGACTCCAAAGTAGATAAGACATAGGCCCAGCCTTGGGGAGCTCATTGAGCCATAGAGAAAGTTTGAATGTTTCAGAGGAATCATCAAGAACAGGGGATCAGCAATCTATTATATTTCAATTGCCTCTTTTCATGATTGTAAAAGCAATGCATGCCTGCTGAAGAGAATTTGGAAAAACAAGAAATTAAAAATCGTCTCTGATCCTGCCACCAGAAATAACCACTGTTAGCAATTGTATCACTTCTGTAGGTCTATATGGTTATCATAATCAGCTCTAGCATTGATTACATGCATCTCATGTACCAGAGATTATGCTAGACTCTCATTTAATCTGCACATCAGCCGTATGAGGTAGGGACCATCATTTTCCTCATTTTACAGATGAGGAAACAGAGGCTTAGAGGGGTTACTCTGCCCAAAGTTTCATAGCTAGTGAGTGGCAGAGATTGGACTCACTCAAGCTCTGTCTTATTCCCAAGCTCTCAACCAACCCAGTGGTGAGAAGAGCCAGCAGCAAAGCCTGTCATCTTTGTAATTTTTTTTTAACCTCAAATCAGGGAGAAAAGCCTTTGTCACTAGAGGGGCAAGGCAGTTCTGAAGACAGCCCAATGGCCATGTCTCCGATTTGATTTTCAGGGGCCTGTCTGATACCTACGGAGAGGCAAGGGCTTAACAAGCTGTACCCTCAAAACAAAACAAAGCAAAACACAACTTTAGTCTCTTTAGGGACTCTCTGATAGTAATGCAGAGGGAGAAAGGCTTTCTTTGTCTCACTGGGAGGAGGGTTCCCTACGGAAGTTGAAGGCAGTGCCTGTTGACATAGCGCTGCCACCTGGTGGAAATCATGGTGTAGGACATCATGTCCAGCACTACCAGCACTGAGAGACACTCCCTGGGAAGAGAAATGTTTGGAGAGAAATTTGCAAGAAGTTGGAAGTCTTGCAGTAGCTGGTAGGAACAAGAATTATCACTGCTACTGTGACCCCCTAAGGCTCCCCCACATCCTCTTAAGCCTTGGAGAAACTCACATTATGTATATTTTCCTGTACTATTGAAAACTGTTTTCCTTTATGCTTTGTTGTAATGAAATTACCTCTGATGGTCACATACCTTAAATATTTAGTATGTATATGAATACTAAATGTCCATTTTAGGAGTTAGTTTACCTGCATCTAAAATCAGGAATATGTCACAGAGTAACTGAGCAAAAAGTGCTGTTAGGTTTGTGCATTTTGCCCTTTGCCTGGGATGAGAGGACCTCAATCATCTTGGTATTAATGACAGGAAAAGTGCCCTCCTATCCATCGGTATTGGCTACTCGACTCAATTCTCCTTATTTCCTTTTCTAGCATAACTCCAAGGATTGTGATTGTTGTTTTACATCTGTGTTAATGAGATAAATAGGTTTAAAATAAAAAGATGTGTACCAGGCAGATGGAAAGATGAATCATGAAGTTTTTGCCATCTGGATCTTCTGTCAAAGACAGATGAAAAATTCTGCCCAGGGTGTATGCTGAAGAACACAGATACTTAATCTGGAGTTCAAGTATCAGCTTCAAGGAGTCTATACACCTCCTGAAATTTTGGGCCGGATGGAATGTGTCTGGAAGTGTGTTCATTTTTCTGGGAGGAAGGTCCAGAGTTTTCATCAGCTTCTGAAAATAGTACATGCCCAAAGAGAAGGTTCAAAATCATTGCCTGGGGCCTTTCAGAGGGTCCTTCTAATCATGAGGTTCTCTAATATTAATCAACATCACGTGCACTATTATTATTAAAAGTAATTGGGTCAAGCGTGGTAGCTCATGCCTATAATCCCAGTACTTTGGAAAGCTGAGGCAGGTGGATTGGTTGAGTCCAGGAATTCCAGACCAACCTGGCCAACATGGTGAAACCCCATCGCTACAAAAAAAAAATACATAAAAATTAGCTGGGTGTGGTGGCACACGTCTATAGTCCCAGCTACTCAGGAGGCTGAGGTGGGAGTATCTCCTGAGCCCAGAAAGTGGAGGCTGCAGTGAGTTTAGATCATGCCCCTGGCACTCCAGCCTGGGCAACAGAGTGGGACCCTGTCTCAAGAATGATAATAGTAATCATCATCATCATCATCATGTTGCAAGCTGATTTGAAGTAACTCATTTTTAAATAAGCACTTGGATTTACATAGGCTTGACTGAGGAATTACACCAGTGATGAGGGGTTCAACCTGGACACTGGTAAGGCAGACCAAGCCACATGAACCCCTGCAGTTGGCAGGCCAGCAGCCAGTCCATCCTTCCTTCTTTAGACCTGTGGACTGCACTCAAGATCAGTAGAGGCTCTGTCAGAAGGTCCTAGGAAACAAGACTTGTCTATGGTTTCTTTACTTGAAAGTAAAAATGTTTGATGATATAATTTTTAAGTTCCTTTGAATCATTAAAGCTCACTGATTTAGGAGAATGGCTTTTACAATTTTTAAGCTTTAAGCTCCCTCCTAAGTTTCTGAAGATGCCCTTGGGCCACTTCATGGATTTGATATAAAATCTAAAGTCCTAGGGGTTTCAAGGAGCACAGCTTGGAATCTAACGTCCTAGTACATTCATTGTATTAGTTTGTTTTCATGCTGCTGATAAAGACATACCCAAGACTGGGCAATTTACAAAAGAAAGAGGTTTAATTGGACTTACAGTTCCATGTGGCTGGGGAAGCCTCACAATCACGGTGGAAGGCAAGGAAGAGCAAATCATGTCTTACATGGATGGCAGCAGGCAAAGAGAGAGAGCTTGCGCAGGTGAATTCCTCTTTTTCAAACCATCAGATCTCATGAGACTTATTCACTGTCACCAGAACAGCATGGGAAAGACTTGCCCCCATGATTCAATTATCTTCTGCAGGGTCTCACCCACGACATGTGGGAATTCAAGATGAGATTTGGGTGGGGACACAGCCAAACCATATCATTCATATAAGTCATTGAATTGATAAGTGAAAAGGTAACTAGCGTTCTTAAAAGAAGATTTTGCCAAAATGTGTTTGAGCTTGGATGTCTTAATAAGACTTCCTATTGATTTAAACTAAATTTAAATTAGGAGTCCCTGTGTCATCTCTTTCTGATTGATAATCAATTAGCAGAGGCTTCTCATTCAGCATCTTGGTTTTTTGATTGTCTGTTTTTTGCTTCCCTAGTCTGCTATATACCTAACGAAAGAAAACACTTAAAGATTACTGGATTTATATGAAGTTCCAGAAAAAGCAAAAATAATCCATAGTGGAAAAATCAGGGAGCTGGAGGCTATTATTCTTAGCAAACTAACACAGGAGCAGAAAACCCAATACCAGATGTTCTCACTTGTAAGTGGGAGCTAAATGATGAGAACTCATGAACAGAAAGAAGGGGACAACAGGCTGGGGGCGGTGGCTCATGGCTGTAATCCCAACACTTTGGGAGGCCAAGGTGGGCAGATCACCTGAGGTCAGGAGTTCGAGACCAGCCTGGCCAACATGGTGAAACCCCATCTCTACTAAAAATACAAAAATTAGCCAGGCATGGTGGTGCATGCCTGTAATCCCAGCTACTTGGGAGGATGAGGCAGGAGAATCACTGGAACCCAGCAGGCGGAGGTTTCAGTGAGCCAAGATCACGCCACTGCACTCCAGCCTGGGTGAGAAAGTGAGACTCCATCTCAAAAAAAAAAAAAAAAAAGAAAGAAAGAAAGAAGGGGGCAACAGACACGGGGGCTTATGAGGGTGGAGGGTGTGAGAAGGGAGAGGAGCAGAAAAGATAACTACTGGGTACTGAGCTTAATACCTGGGTGATGAAACAATCTGTACAACAAACCCCCTTGACACAAGTTTACCTATGTAACAAACCTTCACATGTACCTCCAAACCTAAAGTAAACATTTTTTTTTTTTTTTTTAACTCAGAAGAGTAGTTGCCTCAAGGAGGAATGGTGAGGACAAAGATGAATTGAGAGGAGATGTGCTGGAACATTTGGGGCTGATCTGGGATTACACATTGTTGAAACTTAGTGGATGTGCACTTAAGGGGTTTCTTCTTCATTTAATTGAATTTAAATTTCACATCGAAAGAAAAAATTTGAGTACATACAATAAAATAGTATTCAGCCTTAAAAAGAAAGGAAATCCTATTACATACTACTACAGGGAAGAAACTTGAGGACATTATGCTTAGTAAAATAAACCAGTCACAAACCCCGTGTGATTCTATATATATGAGGTACCCAGAGTGGTCAAATTTGTAGAGACAGAAAGTAGAATGTTGGTTGCCAGGGGCTGAGGGGAAAGGGGGAATGGGACGTTATTTTTTAACAGGTATGGAGTTGTCGTTTTGTAAGATGAGAAAGTTCTGGAGATTGGTTCCACAACAATATGAATTTACTTAACACTACTGAACTATATACTTTAAAATGGTTCAAATAGTAAGTTTTATATGATTTTACTAAGATTA